TCTGTAAATGACCTAAATTCGTAATAAGTGGGAATTCGCCCCGAAATTACATGCCCAAATGTCTGAGATATGTTCAATGTACATAAAAAATTGATGGGAATAGTTTTGGAGCTACTCTGCGGCCTTAGGCTTGCAATAAACAAACAAGTCAGTGTATTTGAGGCCAAACAAATGCCTTAACTTTGTCCAGTAAACCGATAAGCAGATATGGAAGATTGTTTTGCAATCAACGCTCAAAAACCTTTTCATTGATATACATCTCATGAGGAATTTGTGTTGCGAGTCAAATGCTTTCCCCCGTTAGTAATGTTATTGACTACATTTATGCATGCATCTCCAATCACTAGTGCTTACATAAATACGATGGAACCGATAATCGTGCATTCAAAACTATTTATTCGTGCAAATCGAATCTTTTGCCTAAAATGAGCTGGTTACAATTATGTATCTATTAGCATCATAAGGTGTGAGTCATGCTAGGATAGACCATGACAATGTAAAGCATCATCAGACATGCAACATAACTGCACCATCAAGGCAAATTCGTGACCTGACTGTAGAAATAAACTAAGCTAATTGAGTTTACGCAATTAGCGCGTCTATGCTCATCGAAAATTGTCATCGAAAAAATACCAGTACTGTGACTTCACTCGTTGATCACACCCGTTTCTCTCCTGATCTACACAAATAAGAAGATTCCCATGCTGGAATCAGATCTTCTGAAGCTTTTTGAGAAAGGCAAATGAAAATCATACATTACATAGGGAATAAAAAAAAGCTGCTGCCGGGGGGAAATTCCAAAACACTTTTTTGGCAAAGCCCACCGTCAATATGGAGTTCAAATTCGCAAAACAAGGGAAAACTAGAAGATTGCTGCACTAGTGAGTTCAAGTCTGGAAGACATCTTTGTACTGGCTTGAATAGCGGTATTCAAGAACGGCAGTTGAAGATATAGGGGTGTTTTGAGTAGATAATTTGAATTTAAAACCATCACCACTGTAAGCGATCTCCGTTCCATCCGATTTAGATGACAGCGCAGAGGAGCGAACGGATCGCACAGGAGAAGTCAGCACTGCCTGTATATGCCTGGCCTTCCTCTGCAGCTCTTTGATCGACTTTATTTGGCTTGAGTCGATGCTGAATAAGGTAACTGGAGCGGTGAATAAAATATAAAAAAGCCTTCTAGCAGGCTCACCTTGACAGCTTTGTCTGAACTCGCCGCTCACGCTTCTCAACATGTGACTGAGTGGATACCTGAAGCATATACATATCTGTATTCCTTTTCACGATCACAGGGAAGTCCGACCTCTGTTTTTTTGGTGGTCCTTTGGGCTACACTTGAGTCACCAGCCTGAACAGTTGTCGAAAGTATCCAACCTCAGCAATAAGACTCAAACTTACTTGGACGTGTACACTCCTCAAAAATCGTATTCCACTCCGTTGTCGATCGTCTGGTTGCAACTTCTGCTTCGCTTCCGCTCTTTTCTGGCCCGCAAGTCCGCTGACATCGCTTTTCCTATATTCCATTTTCTTTTCTGTCGTATTCATTGCGTAAAATGACCACAAGTAATTGGCGATTGGCCTGCTGTAGCGGTTAGCGATGCAAAGCATCGCTCAAAGTAAGCGGTTGCTTACAGCATTCCGGCGATGATTACGGTAGCTAAGCTGCGCGTTGCCGCAGTCCTCTCCGCACTACTTCTACCGGGCACCTAACTAATAAGACGGGTATATAAGCAGGAGCGGTGATTCGCTCGTCTGCCCACTTCAACTTCTCTGATTACTTTATATACGATTTATGTTTCAATCTGTCGTCGTCGTGCCTTAAAGGCAGTATCGCCGCAAAAACTCGTTTTCTGACAAACTTAAAGGCTTATCAATTGCAGTGTCAGGTGCACCAGCATCTCTACTCTCGCGCGGAACTCTGCACCTCTTCCGCGAGCATGCTTCTTAATTCACTCTAATTGATTGAGGCTTCCATTTCCCATGCTCGCGGACAGAATGTGATCAGAGAACTTGTTCGCGAAA